ACAGGGTTGGTGATACCTTCAGAAGTTCTTTTATTGTTCAAGATTGTTTTAGCTATTCTGTTTCTTTTTTCTTTTTTACATCAAATGAATATTGTCCTTTCAAGGTCTGTGAAGAATCGTGTTGGAATTTAGATGAGGATGGCATGTAGTCTATAGATTGCTTTTGGTAGAATATCCATTTTTACTATGGTAATCCCACCAATCCATGAATATGGGAGATATTTCCATCTTCTTATATCTTCTTCAGCTTCTTTCTTCAAAGAGTTAAAGTTTTTTCATACAAGTCTTTAGCTTGCTCAAGATATTTTATATTGTATGTGGCTGTTGTGAAGGGTGATGTTTACCTAATTTCTTTCTCAGCCTATTTGTCAACTGTTTTGTGTGTTTGTTTGTTTGTTTGTTTGAGTTAACCTTGTATTCAACCACTTCTCTGAAGGTATTTATCACCTGTAGCATTTCCCTACTAGATATCAGCTGCAAATAATGATACTTGGACTTCTCCCTTTCCAATTTTTATTCCCTTGATCTCATGATTTAGTTATTTTTTTTTTTTTTACTCTAGCTAAATGTCAAGTACTATAGTGAATAGATATGGAGAGAGTGGACACCATTATTTGTTTCTGGTTTTAGAGGAATTGCTTTTAATTTCTCTACATTTAATTTGATGCTGACTATGGGCTTGCTATAAATTGCCTTCATTTTGTTTAGGCTTTCCTCTTGTAATCCTAATTTTGCAATAGTTTTATCATTAAATGGTGTTGAAATTGTCAAAGATGATCATGTGTCTTTTTCTTTTTTCAGTTTGTTTATATAGTAGATTACATTGACTGATTTTCATATGCCATAACATCCCTGCATCTCTGGCATGAAGCCTATTTGGTCATCATAGATGATCATTTTTATATGTTCCTGGAATTGGTTTGCAAGTATTTTATTGAATAGTTTTACATTTGTGTTTATGGAGGAAATTGGTCTGTAAATCTCTTTCTTTGTGTGGTTTGGGTATCAGAGTGACAATGGCCTAATAAAATGAATTTGGCAATATTCCTTCTGTTTCTACTTTGTGGAATAATTTGAGGAGTTTTAGCATTATTCTTATTTGAAAGTCTGGTAGAATTCTGAATTAAAACCACCTGGCCCTGACCTTTTTTTTTTTTTTTTTTTTTTTTTTTTGCTAGGAGATTTCTAATGAATCCTTCTTTTTTATGGATTATAGATATAATTTGTTTATTTCAACTTGACTTAACTTTGGTAAGTGGAATCTATTTTGTCATTATCTGTTTCTTTAACATTTCCTAGTTGTGAGGAGTATAGTTTTTAAAGGATGACCTAATGACTATTTGGATTTCCTTGGTATCCATTCTTTTGTCTCCCCTTTCATTTCTGATTTTATTAATTGGTATTATCCCCTTCTCTTTTACTTACTTTAGACAAAGATTTGTCTGTCTTGTTGATTTTTTTCGAAGAACCAACTATATGTTTCTTTGATTCTTTGAGTTTTCTTTGTTTCTATTTTATTAATTTCAGCCCTCAGTATGATTATTTCATTTCCTCTACTCCTTGTGGGTGTGCTTATTTCTTTTTGTTCTAGAGATTCAAGGTGTGATGTTATGCTGCTTCTATGGGATCTCTCCTTTAAAAATAATATGTAAGCTGACTAGTGCTATATACTTCCCTCTGAGCACTGCTTTCATTGCGTCCCATAAGTTTGAGTATGCGTTGAGTTCATTTTCATTAATTCTTGGAAGTTTTTAATTTCTTTATTTCTTCTTTGATCCAGTAGTCATTCAGCAGAGATAATTTCAGTTTCCATACATCTGTAGGATTTATGTTGTTCTGATGATAAAATACAGCTTTACTCCATGGTGATCTGATAAAACAGAGTAGGTTTTTTCAGTTTTTTTTTTTTAATCTATTTAGACTTGCCTTGTGACCAAATATATGCTCAGGTTTGGAAGAGATTCCATGAGGTACTGAAAAGAAGACATATTCTTTTTTTTTAAGATTTTATTTATTTATTATGTAGACAACATTCTGCTTCCATGTATATCTGCACACCAGAAGAGGGCACCAGATCTCATAACGGATGGTTGTGAGCCACCATGTGGTTGCTGGGAATTGAACTCATGACCTCTGGAAGAGCAGTCAGTGCTCTTAACCTCTGAGCCATCTCTCCAGCCCAAAGATATATTCTTTTGCTTTGGAGTGAAATGTTCTGTAGATATTTTTTCGGTCCTTTTGGTTTGTAACATCTTTAATCTTCAGTATTTCTGTTTAGTTTTGGTCTGAATGACCTATCAGTTGATGACAGTGAGATAATGAAGTCTCCCACTATCAATGTTTGAGAGTCCATAAACTTCAGTAATTGTTCTTCAATAAATGTGTGTGCTCTTTCATTTGGGACATAGAACTGAAATGTTATCTTGGTGTATTTTTTCTTTGTTGAGTATGAAGTGTCATTTTTTTATCTGTTTTGATTAATTTTGGTTTGAAATCTATTTTGTTAGATATTAGAATGACTATACTAGGTTGCTTTGGGGGGCTATTTGCTTGGAAAATCTTTTTCCAACCCTTTACTCAGAAGTAATATTTATCTTTGATGTTCAGGTGTGTTTATTGTATGCAGCAGAAGGATAGATCTTGTTTGTGCCTCCATTCCATTGGTGTCTTTTTATTGGGTATTGGGTACTTGGAGATATCAATGACCAGTGATTGTTAAGTCTTTTTTTGTTTGTTTGTTTTGTACTCGGTGGTATTATTGTGTGCTGTGTGTCTGCATGGGTTTCCTTTATTTTTTATAATTTATTTATTTTTTATTTAAATTAGAAACAAGCTTCCTTTACATGTCAATCCCAGTTCCCTCACCCTCCGCCCTCTCCTCTGCCCCCTACTGACCCCCTATCTCAACCCCTTTCTGATCCCCAGGGAGGATGAGGCTTTCCATGGGGATCTTAAAGGTCTGTCATATAATTTGGTGCAGGTCCTAGACCCTCACCCATGTGTCTAGGCTGAGAGAGTATCCCTCTATGTGTATTGGGCTCCCAAAGGCCATTTGTGTTCTAGGGGTAAATATTAATCCACTACCAGTGACCCCATAGATTTCTCAGACCTCCAAAATAACCTCCTTGTTCAGGGGGTCTGGGTTGGTCCAATGCTGGTTTCCCAGCTATAGTCTGGGATCCATGAGCAACCCCTTTTTCAGGTCAGCTGTTTCTGTGGGTTGCTCCAGCCTGGTCTTGACCCCTTTTCTCGTCACTCCTCCCTCTCTGCAACTGGATTCCAGAGTTCAGCTCAGTGTTTAGCTGAGGGTGTCTGTTTCTGCTTCCATCAGCTACTGCATGAAGGCTCTAGAATGACATATAAGGTAGTCATCAATCTTATTATCGGAAAGGACATTTAAGGTAGTCTCTCGACTATTATTTAGATTGTTAGTTGGGGTCAACCATGTAGATCTCTGGACATTTCCCTAGTGCTAGAATTCTCTTTAAACCTATAATGGCTCCCTCTATTTTGGTATCTCTTTTCTTTCTCTCCTCTATTCTTCCCCTGACTAAATCTTTCTGCTCCCTCATGTCATCTTCCCCCCTCCTCCTCTCCCCTTCTGTTTCTTCTTACTCCCTTTCCACTCTCCCCATGCTCCCAATTAGCTTAGGGGATCTTGTCCCTTTCCCCTTCTTGGGGGGACCATGAATGTCTCTCTTAGGGTCCTCCTTGTTTCCTGGCTTCTCCAGCAGTGTGGATTGTAGGCTATTTCTTTGCTCTAGGTCTGAAATCCATATATGAGTGAGTACATACCATGTTTGTCTTTTTGTGACTGGGTTTCCTCACTCAGGATGGTTTCTTCTAGTTCCGTCCATTTGCCTTCGAATTTCAAGATTCCACTCTTTTTACTGCAGAGTAGTACTCCATTGTATAAATGTACCACATTTTTCTCTATTCATTCTTCAGTTGAGGGGCATCTAGTTTGCTTCCAATTTCTGGCTATTACAAATACTGCTGCTATGAACATGGTTGAACAGATGTTCTTGTCGCATGAATGTGTATGGGATTATCTATTGTTTGTGTTTATATGGCTGTAGTTAACATTCTTGGTTTGGAGTTTTCCTACTATTACTTCTGTATAGCTGGCTTCGTTGATAGATATGGTTTAAATTTGATTTGTTCATAGAATATCTTTTTTCCATGTTAATTGAAAGTTTTTCTGGGTATAGTAGTTTTGGCTGGTCTTTGTGGTCTCTTAGAGTCTGCAGCACTCATGTGGCTTTTAGAGTCCATATTGAGAAGTCAGGTGTAATTTTAACTATATTTTTTCTTGTAGGCTTCAATATTTTTTTCTGTGTATAATGTGTTCTTATTTATTGTGTTTTTTAAAATAAATTTTTCATATACTGACCAGTCTCCCCTCCTTCCTCTCCTCCCATTCCTTCTCCCACCTCCCATCTACCCCTGCCCTATCCACTCTTCCGCTATCTCTGCTCATAAAGGGACAGGCCTCCCATGGGAGTAAAAAATCATGGCATATAAAATTGATGAAAAACCAAGATCCTCTCCATGCTTCAAGGTTGGGTCAGGCAACCCAGCATGAGGAATGTGTCACAAAAACTAGTTCAAGCACCAGGGAGAGATCATGATCCCACTGCTAGGAGCCTCACAAATAGATCAAGCCACACAGCTGTCACATATATGGGAGGACCCAGGTCTGTCCCATGTGGGCTCCTTAAAGGATGGTCCAGAGTCTCAGAGCTCCCACAAGTTCAGGTCAGATGTCTCTATGGGTTTCACTGTCATGATCTTGACTATATGTTGTGTTATTCTGCTGGTGTCTAGAGATCTGGGTGTGAGTATAGGTCTTGGTGCCAATTTCTGTGGTCGGTCTTTGTTAGATGGGGATTTTGTTTTTTGGTTTCTGTTTATTCTCTGGTCTTATGACCTGTGTGGCCCCTGGTTGAGCAGGGGGTCTCCACCTGAGTTGGAGGCTGGACTTCTGGTGGCCAAAATATATGGAACTAGAACAATTCACAAATTTGCATGTCGTCCTTTTACAGGGGCCATACTAATCTTCTCTGTTCCAATTTTAGCATATGTGCTGCAGAATCCAGCAGTGCAGGAGATTTTTAAGACATGAAATCTACCACCAAAACAGGTTAAATTTCACTGATTTAGATATAGTCTTTCTATGAAAAGGCATGCTTTCAGCTCACACATGTACCGTGTCCTCAGGTGCAGCATAAAGCATGTCCAAGCATCAAGATATCACAGAGAAAACAGGCCTGATCCTTCTAACTTTACCAGAAATGAGCACTCAGTAGTGTTTCTTGCTCCTTATTCCCTTTAAGAGTTTCCATTAACACGATTCTCTTTCTTGTTTAACAAGAGTTCAGAAAAATACCCTGATTTTTCTTTGAAGTGCTGGCCCCTGAACATGTTTCCATGGGACAGATTGTCTGAATAATTTCCTAGTATGACTTTCACCAAATATAATATTCATCTTTTCTCAAAGGAACACTCAGTTTCTGGGAAGTTAAATGAGTTGGGTTAATGGAGAATGATTCATTCATCAATTAATTGATTCCTTTAGAAAACAGCATTGAATACTAGCTAAATAATAGTCTGTTGTTAGGTAAAAAATATCTCTGATTTGGTACCAGTCTTTTTTTTTTTTTTTGCTTTGTTTGAGACAGCGTTTCTCTGTGTAGCTTTGGAGCCTATCCTGGCACTTGCTTTAGAGACCAGGTTGGCCTGAAACTCACAGAGATCCACCTGCCTCTGCCTCCCAAGTGCTAGGATTAAAGGCATGTGCCACCAACGCCCGACCTTTAGTTGAGATTTCTATTACTGAGATGAAACACCCAACCAAAAAACAAGCTGGGGAGGAAAGGGTTTATTTGGCTTACACTTTAGCATTGATGCTCATAACTGACAGGAATTCAAACAGGGCAGGATCCCGGAAGCAGGAGTTGATTCAGAGTCCATGGAAGGAAGCTTCTTACTGACTTGCTTCCCCTGGCTTGCTCAGCCTGATTTTTTATAGAACCCAGGACCACCAGTCTAGTGATGGCACCACCCACAATGGGCTGGGCCCTCCCCCCATTGATCAATAATTGAGAAAATGCATTACAGTTGGATCTCAAGGAGGCATTTCCTCAACTGAGGCTCCTTTCTCTGATGACTCTAGCTTCTGTGAAGCTCACACACAAACCAGCCAGTACAGTACCCGACTCTATCATACATAAAGGTGATGCAGGCAGCATGCCAGGGTCTAGGCATCTCTTGTTTCCTTCATAATCTGTTTATGAGAGTGAAGTTGCCCATTGTTTCATTCTATTCAATGTGCTATAAGTTTTCTATAATAAAAGCTTCTAAAAATAGCCTTGTGTCAGAGTTGATTGTTGTTACTGGGAATAAGCATTACATTCCTCCGAAGGGAAATCAGTGGACTTTGTAGACACACAGAGGCTTCCATCTGGAGATGTCAGACCAGTGGATTTGTGATTTCATCATTCCTCCACAGAATCAATTTCCAAGGGTCTCTGCTCACCAAAGGGGAGACATAGTAAGACATACAAGACAAGACAGCAGAGCTGGGTACAAACTCAAATTCAACAACATCTGCATTGTTATTCTCCAAGACCGCCTCCTGCTCAGTGGTTTCCAGGACTGCATGTTATCCCTTAGTCCTGGCTGCTTTCTTTCCTGATGGATTCTGTTAAGTTTATTTCCATATTTTCCTACCTTTGGATCATGTTATGTATCTGAAACAAAGTAGTCCAAATTTTCATTCATATTTCTATCCCAGGTCAGATCAGTTCTCACTTCTGTTTCAGGATAAAAGAAACAAAACACCTGCAAGTCAACAACAGTGAAAGTATCTTAAAACTAGTGGAATTAGAATTACAGTGAATGCTCATTTCAGTTTATGAATTATTGAAATAAAAAAATCTTTTATGACTTTTACAAAAAAATCTCATATGAGGGTTAAGAAATGAAACAAAATTTAGGAGTCAGGTGTCAAGGACATCACAATAAAACCCACTGAACCAACTGACCTGGTATCATAGCAGCTCACAGAGACTGAATGGACAACTAGGGAGCCTGCATGGGACTGCATCCTTGTTACAGTTGTGTAGCTTGGTCTGCTTGTGGGACTCCTAACAGTGGCAATGGGGCTGTCTCTGACTCTTTTACTGTCTTTTGGGACTGTAAAGACACTGAGTCCCCTTGCTCAGGCTTGATACATGGGGAGGTACTTAGTCTTACTGAAACATGATATACCACTCAGGGGACACCTGTCCTTTCCTAAACAGAAACCGAGAAATGGATTGAGGGATGTGAACACAGGGAGTGGAATAGGGAGACATTGAGAGGAAAGGAGGGAGGGAAAACTGTAGCCAGGATTCTAACTAATTAACTAATTAATTATTTTACATTTAAAGAGAAATGAGTTGTGTCTATAAGTTATTTCACCAAATAAACATAATCACTTTGTACATTTTATGACCTATATGACCTACCCCCAATGAGAGTAGACTGCTCACACCACTCACACCCCTCAAACCACTCACAGCTCTCACACCTCTCATACTGCTCAACCCTCACATCCCTCACACTGCTCACACTGCTCACACCCCTCACACCACACATACCACTCATACTACTCACAACCCTCAAACCCCTCACACATCTCACACTGCTCACACCCCTCACACCCCTCACACCCCTCACACTGCTCACACTGTTCACATACCTCACACCCTCACATCCCTTACACCCCACACACTACTCACATTGTTCATACACCTCACACTGCTCACACTGTTCACATACCTCACACCGCTCACACCCCTCACACCGCACACACCATTCACACTACTCACACCCCTCAAACCACTCACACCACTCACACTGCTCACATTGCTCACACACCTCACACCCTCACACCACTCACACTGCTCACAACTCTCACACCACTCACACTACTCACAACTCTCACACCACTCACACCACTCACACCACACACCCCTCACACCCCTCACACCTCTTACACCGCTCACATACCTCACACCCCTCACACTGCTCACATTGCTCACACCCCTCACACTGCTCACACCTCTCACACTGCTCACACCACTCACACAACCCCACGACCCTATACTCACATCCCTCACACTTCTCACACCCAAGAGTTATCTCAGTAAAGAACAGGGCTTGGGTCTTTAGAGTCTTCCTCTTGGTCAGAGGCTTTGCATGGGAGAAGCCATGAAGGGGAGTTGCCAGTGAAGGCCATTAATGCCCCCTGATAATCAGAATCCCTCTAATCCATATAATAGCTGTCTCTACCCTATAGATTTTGACTAGGATTTTCAGAATGTGCAAGGTTCTTAGAAATTTCTATTTTTATTTCTTTTTAAATATCTTGCCAAATATTTAAATGAAAGACTTTTATGATAAAATAATTCTAGTAACCACTACTCAGGAGCTAAACTACTAAACATCCATAATATCAAATATATTTAATCCAAATATATAAAATCAACATGTATCAGGACATGTCTGTGTCCCAATACCAAATACTATGTGGGGATAACACTATGTGGGGAGGTTGACATCAAGGACCCCAAAACACACAGGGGCCTGACTTTTGTGTAAATGGGGTGATAGAGATTCCCATTTTTATTTATTATCTTTCAAAGGAATTCTGAAAGAATCTCCAACAAATAAAAATGATTGAAGTGAGTTTATGTAGGAATAATATGAACTTATCTCCCTGGAGACAAAGATAAGAAATGAGACTTCACTCTTTCCTATTTCATCTATTTTAAAATAGGAAAATACATCAATCTGAAAGTATAATGTACTCATTGGGCTAGGAATATCTTTTAACCAGCAAATCCTTTTATTGTTCCAGCAAGACACAACAGTCCCTGCTTCAGTACCCTTGAAGTTCTCACCATGAAACACTGACACATAAACTCCAATGCATAAGTCCTTTAAGGCTTACCAGGGAGCCAGTTATTGTATTGTAAATTGCAAACTTCTATAAACTAAGGCAAAAGTGACCCCTCCTTGATGCCTCTTCCTGATTAACTTTTTTAGGCACATATATTTTCTCACAAATAATAAAATGTTAAAAATAAATCTTATGTATCTTAATTGCTTAGTCATTTAATACTTTACAAAATAACTTTCTAGAAATATTCCCCTCATAATGTGTAGAAATCCTCCTTTTGTCACATTACAACAGGTGCTTTCTCTTGTTTCTGGGGTTTAATATTTCCAGAAGAGAATAGAGGAAACCAAGATTGAGCAGAGGAAAAGGTCTAGCTTCAATGGAAATCTATACCAAAGGAACCTCTGGACAAAACCAGACTGAGAGGCAACATCTTTATCTGTGCCTGCAGTGCGGGCTTGCTACATGTGGAAAAGGGCAGGGATCATAACCAGTCTGAAATCACGCTCATGTAATGCATCAGAAGGTCTTGCTAAAGCTGTTTGAAAATGATTTCAGGAAACAAACAATGATGGCAGTGATACTCCTTATAAAATTTTATAAAAATTCTGCAAAGGTCTTCTTTTAAGCATACCAAAACTATTTCAATATAGGTGTTTAATATTTTCACATTTATCAAAACCTACTTTCCAAGTTATTGTTGACCAAAATAATCACAATTCTCTTAAAATTTTATCCCATCATTAACAACAGATAGTCTGCACTGCTTTCACCAGCGGATAATGATTTATTGTTATGTGTATCGTCTAAAAATAATTCACTACCCAAAGATGAAGTGATGTGAGCTCCCTGTAACTATTACATATGTAAAAAGAAGTCTAGATTAATGGAAGCCAAGCATAAAGCAATTTCAGAATCCTGTTGTGTTCACAATGATATAATTTTTTACAAAGTAGTAGAAGGCGCTCTCATATTTAGAGAAAATACATTTACCAGTAAACCATTTGGGGGGAGTACTCTTGTACACAAGGTCTAAAAGACAAACATAGAAAGCAGACAGCTTGCATAAGAATACAATGATAATGAGTATTATAAATTGTAGACAACCTTTCTTATGGCTTAAGGAAATGGATAAATGTTGGTGAAATTTCAGAT